AAAGACCTGCAGCGGCAACGGGCGCGACTTGTTCTCGCGCAGCGTCTTAAGCACGCCCGGGATCAGCGACGTGCGCACCACCTGGTACTCGACCGTCTTGGGATTGGCGAGCTCCACGGCCAACCCGTTATCGGGCTGCCGCAGGTGCGCAAAGTTCTCGTCGTGCGAGCACAGCGTGAGCGGCAGGACTTCCGAGAACCCGGCGAGCGCAAGCTCGCGCCGGATCTGGTCCGAGAGCTTGTTGATCGGGAAGGGCTTGCCGACGGTGTTCACGGCCGGCAGCGTTTTCGGGATCTTGTTGAACCCGTAGGCAATGGCCACGTCCTCCATGATATCGCACGCGTGCAAAATGTCGGACCGCGTAATGGGCACGTCCACGAGCACCGTCTTTTGATCCTTGGTGAGCGTCGCACCGAGCGACATGCGCTCGAGATGGTGCACGACCTCGGCGGGCGTCAGCTTGACGCCAATCGCCGACGTAATGTAGTCGATCGACGCCTCCATGCGCCGCGGCGCCACGTCCGGGTACGTGTACTTCTTGCCGTTCGGGTAGACGACCTCGACGGGCTCGACGGTGAAGGGCGTCGCCGAATACTGCGAGTAAGTCGCGACCATAGTGTTAAGCACGACCTTGGCCTTGGTCAAGTCCGTGGCCGTGCACTCAATGAAGACGTTCTTGGTCTTGAGCGTGATCTTGGAGTGGTCGCCGTTGATGATGGGCGGCAGCGAGCACACGACGCGCTTGGCGTCGAGAATGATCGGATAGACGTGCGAGTTTTCGATAATGTGCAGGAACTTGCCAATGTGCTTGTCCTTGGTCCGGTAGTGTTCAAAGAGCTCGGGGCACGGCATGGCCTTGGGCTGGTTCAGCGCCTGGAAGTTGATTTGCGACGGCGGCAGCGCCTCGTAGGTGAACGGGCCCTGGATCGTGTCGAGGTCGTGCGTGCCAATCGCGACGAGCGTGCGCTTGCTGTGGAAACACAACCGAAACATGAGCGCGCGCAAAGGAGCGACGATTTCGCGCAAAGTGCGAGTGCGTGCGTAGCCGAACGGACGTACCGGCAGATGTTGTTGTGCAGCTTGTCCTGAAGCGTGATGAACGAGTCGTACATTTCCGGCGTGAACGTCACGTCGCGCAGGATCGCGCCGACAACATGTGGGCGAATTTGAGCCGTCTAATCAATTAAAACCACGCAAATCGGTCAGCCCGCGGTCCGGTCCTCGTCTGGCAAAACGCAATCGCTAACGCACCTCCTTCTTGACGATAATCTGCTGCAGCTTGCCGCCCTTGGGCTTGCGCACCGTGTAGGTCGGCGGCTTGCCCTGACCGAGGAAAATCTTGAGCGACCGAGCGATCCCCTCGGGGCTCAGCAGGTCATAGCGGTTGGCTGGAATGTCGATCTTGTAGAGCGGCTTGTCGGACAGACCCTGCGCGCGCGCAGCCGCCTCGCCAATCTGCTCAATGGCCATGGCCAGCTCCGACGTCTACACGGTGCGCGCGAAGTGGCGGTCAGTCCGCGCCGCGAACGTGGAGAGAACGAGGCGGTGCTCCGTACATCCTCCTCGAGCTCAATGCCAAACTCGAAGCACAGCTCGCGGAACTCATCGGTGGCTATTGGTGGTGGCGACGCGGCCGCGCGGATTCGGCATCAGCGCATAGGTTCAGATCGCAGGCGTGCGGGTGCTGAGCGATGCCATACAGTACTTGCGGCCGAGGGCCTTGAACAGGTACTCCTGATCAACGTTGACGGTCGGCATGGCGGGATGTGGTGGTTGGTTGAACCGGTGCTCGACAGTCGATTGGAGGGCCGCTGGTCGCTGGGCACAGGGAGCGTTGTCGCTGTGCGTGTGCTTGTGGTCACGGTTGTTGACGTCGTTGCTGCGCACTGTTGCTGCTGGAAACGTCGTCGCGAGCAGTATTCGTTGACCAGGCGGCGCGTGGAGTGAAGCGAGTTCGGCTTCACCAAGGGGAGCGATCAGGCTGCACGAGTCGAGTGCACGTGTGCATTCGGCTGAGCCCTGAAGCGTGATCGAGCCGTCAACAACATCACCGTATTGTCAGGGACCACTTAAACTATCAGGAACTTGGATCATGCTGATGGCACCACCGCCTGAACATCAACACATCACCACTATATTCAACATATCTGATCGTTTGCAAACCAGCGCAAAGAAAATTGCATAAAAAGACCTGGAAGGTCCGTTTCTACTTCTTATAAATAATCATGCGGCAATAATGAGAACCACTCACATTCAGTCAGGCCTGGATGGCACACATATTTACATTGTTGCAACCTTATCATTACAATTCAATGGCAGATGCAACCCCCAGCATATGGTTCATATCAGACAGCAACAGCTGGTCACTGGCATGTAGATATAAAAAGCAAGGAATAAAACAGCCATTTTGACAGGATTCTGCACAAAGTTGTGGTCTGAGAGTGTTGAGCATGGCCTGTTGACCTGCAGGGTTTGGTGGGATGGGTTTGAAGGCAACTGACTGCAACAAGCACACCTTGCTGTTTGGTCTCTTGCCCACATGGCACAGGTGTGGATGCACTGACACAAATATTGATATTGCAAGTAAGGATGGCATTGCATCTCTGCTGGGGCAGGTTTTGAGCCAACTGGGCAAGTAAGCAAGTGTTAGCAAAGCATCAGTGAGGGAGCCACAAAGCATGCAACTGTCAGTACAGCAAGTGAACACCATGTGGAATGTGCAAGCCAGTTAGTGTGTGGGATTTCTGTGTACATTGCTGCTTTGGTTTCAACAAGACTGTGCACAACCACACGATAGCTTGCCATCTTTTTTGCAGCCAAATTTGCAATATTGCAGCACACCTAACTCTTCACTGGATCTTTGGGCAGCCAAGATCAGTCTTGTGGGCAGGGCATTCCTTGATCCTTGAAGGGGACAATGCTTGATTATGTCTGATGAGCACAATCTTGTTGTCAAGCCCTAAATTTGGCAAGCAGAGCCCATATCTGACAAAAGATGCAGACTAGAGCAATAATGGACAACTGAAATGAGTGCAGGTGTTGGTCGATATTGCTAAAGAGATGCATATCAGTGCAGAGAAAGTAAAATTTGAGAGAAAATTGGGTGAGAGATGCTGTACCTGTGTTATTGTTGGGGCTCTTGCCACATCATCAGGATGATCTGGCATGTGTGAGCAATACAAGTGAGATTGCATGATCCTCAATGTTCAGAAATTCGCGCTCAAGGGCGTCTAGCATCTGGCTAAGTGACCACAGAAACATTATGCCAAGGCCAGCAAAGAGGAGGATAGATTGAAATCAATGCACCAAGCAGACTGCTAAGTATGTCAGGCTGCCAAGGTTGATAGCAGTCGTGATAACAGCAGTGGAACAAGGTTCTAGCTCTGGGCATGAACACATTGCTTTTATGTGGACAAAAGTGCAACTGAACAGACAGGCATCAGTGTTATCAAGATTGATGAGTACAGCCAAGCAAGGCACCAAGCACTACCAGCCGTCCTTCACTCACTGATCCATCTTGCCAGTCACAATGAGAAAGACAGCAAACCCCTTCTTGACTACTTTGGTCTTGGTGCCCTGTCTTTTCAGTTGTTGGTTGATTAGTGCAGATGGGGCAGGCACAACAGTAAAAGGCCCACACCAATGTGAGAAACACAACAGCCACACCCCCAAAATGAACACAAAAAAAATCAAGTACACTTTATTGATGCCCAACTATA